GACCCATAGAGACCCATAGAGACACAGAGAGACACAGAGAGACGCATAGAGACACAGAGAGACACAGAGAGACCCAGAGAGACCCAGAGAGACCCAGAGAGACCCAGAGAGACCCAGAGAGACACAGAGAGACCCACAGAGACCCACGGAGACCCAGAGAGACCCAGAGAGACCCATAGAGACACAGAGAGACCCACAGAGACCCACGGAGACCCAGAGAGACCCAGAGAGACACATAGGGACCCAGAGAGACCCAGAGAGACCCAGAGAGACCCAGAGAGACACAGAGAGACACAGAGAGACGCATAGAGACACAGAGAGACACAGAGAGACCCACAGAGACCCATAGAGACACAGAGAGACACAGAGAGACCCACAGAGACCCATAGAGACACAGAGAGACACAGAGAGACCCAGAGAGACACCCATAGAGACACCCATAGGCACCCATAGAAACACCCAGAGACCCACAGACACCCATAGACACACATAAAACACCCATAGAGATCCCCATAGACAGACCCCCATAGACACACATAAACCCCCATAGACACACATAGGCACCCATAGAGACCCCCATAGACCCCCATAGATGCACGTAGACCCCCATAGAGACACCCACAGACACCCATAGAGACCCACAGACACCCATAGACACCCATAGAGACGCCCATAGACACCCATAGAGACCCCCATAGATGCACATAGACCCCCATAGACCCCCATAGAGACACCCATAGACACACATAGACACACAGAGACCCCCAAAGACCCCAACAGATATCCATAGACACCCCATAGACACACATAGAGACCCCCAGAGACACCCATAGACACACATAGACCCCCATAGATGCACACGGACCCCCATAGACACCCCATAGACACCCGTAGACACCCGCCAACATCCATAGACACACATAGACCCCCAGAGAGACCCCCAGAGACACCCATAGATGCACATAGACCCCCAGAGAGACCCCCAGAGACCCCCATAGACACCTGTAGCCACCCATCAACATCCATAGCCACCCATAGAGACCCTTCGGGACACCCATAGGGACACCCATAGACACCCCATAGACACCCCCAGAGACCCTGGGACCCCCTTTGAGACACCCAGAAACACCCTGACCCCCCCCCCCCGTGCACCCCCCATGCACTCCCCAACCCCTTTTGCACCCCAGAACCACCCTGACCCCCTCCCCCAAGACCCCCCCAAAGAGACCCAACCCCCCCCCATATCCCAGCCCCCCCATTGTGACCCCCTTGTCCCCCCCCAGCTGCAAGACCTGGGGCACCCACCCAAGGAACTGGCCGGGGAGACGGTGAGTGCCAAAGGGGGGGGGGGGGGGCACCCATGGGTGGGGGGGGGCCCTGATGGGACCCCCCCCCCCCCTTTAAGCACCCAGACCCCATCTGACCCCCCCGTTCCCCCCTGCAGCCCCCCGGCTTCAACATGGAGCTGCCGGGGGGGGAGCAGTGCAGCCTCATGTAGGGCCCCCCCCAGCGGAGGAGGAGCCGGCCCGCACCGGGGGGGGGTGGAGGGGGTCATATGGGGGGGGGGGGGGGGGTGCAGGGACACCCACCCCCCCCCCTCACCGAAGCCTGACCATGGGGACGTGTGTGACCCCCCCTCGATGTCCCCAATAAAGGTGTTGGTGATGGCGTCCGGAGGGGGAAACTGAGGCAGGATGGGGGGGGCGGTGAGGACATGGGGGGGGGCACATGGAGACCCTATAATAACATGGGGGGGGCACATGGAGACCCTATAATAACATGGGGGGGCAGAAAGAGACCCTATAATAACATGGGGGGGTCACAAGGAGACCCTACAATAACATGGGGGGGTCACAAGGAGACCCTACAATAACATGGGGGGGGGCACATGGAGACCCTATAATAACATTTGGGGGGGCACATGGAGACCCTATAATAACATGGGGGGGGGCACATGGAGACCCGATAATAACATTTGGGGGGGCACTAAAAACATGGGGGGCCACATGGAGACCCTATAATAACATGGGGGGGGGGCACATGGAGACCCTATAATAACATGGGGGGGTCACAAGGAGACCCTACAATAACATGGGGGGGGGCACATGGAGACTCTATAATAACGGGGGGGGCACATGGAGACCCTACAATAACATGGGGGGGCACATTGAGACCCTATAATAACATGGGGGGGCACATGGAGACCCTCCAATAACATGGGGGGGGCACATGGAGACCCTATAATAACATTTGGGGGGGCACATGGGGACCCTACAATAACATGGGGGGGGGGGCACATGGAGACTCTATAATAACATGGGGGGGCACTAAAAACATGGGGGGCACATGGAGACCCTATAATAACATGGGGGGGCACTAAAAACATGGGGGGCACATGGAGACCCTATAATAACATGGGGGGGGGCACATGGAGACCCTATAATAACATGGGGGGGGCACATGGAGACCCTATAATAACATGGGGGGGGGCACATGGAGACCCTACAATAACATGGGGGGGTCACAAGGAGACCCTACAATAACATGGGGGGGGGCACATGGAGACCCTACAATAACATGGGGGGGGGCACATGGAGACCCTACAATAACATGGGGGGGGGGCACATGGAGACCCTACAAAAACATGGGGGGGGGGCACATGGAGATCCTACAATAACATGGGGGGGGGCACATGGAGACCCTACAATAACATGGGGGGGTCACAAGGAGACCCTACAATAACATGGGGGGGGCACATGGAGACCCTCTAATAACATGGGGGGGGGCACATGGAGACCCTACAATAACATGGGGGGGCACAAGGAGACCCTACAATAACATGGGGGGGCACATGGAGACCCTACAATAACATGGGGGGGGCACATGGAGATCCTATAATAACATGGGGGGGGTCACAAGGAGACCCTACAATAACATGGGGGGGGCACATGGAGACCCTACAATAACATGGTGGGGCACAAGGAGACCCTATAATAACATGGGGGGGGCACAAGGAGACCCGATAATAACATGGGGGGGGGGCACATGGAGACCCTACAATAACATGGTGGGGCACAAGGAGACCCTACAATAACATGGTGGGGCACAAGGAGACCCTATAATAACATGGGGGGGGGCACATGGAGACCCTATAATAACATGGGGGGGGGCACATGGAGACCCTACAATAACATGGGGGGGGGGCACATGGAGACCCTACAATAACATGGGGGGGGGGCACATGGAGACCCTACAATAACATGGGGGGGGGGCACATGGAGACCCTACAATAACATGGGGGGGGGCACATGGAGACCCTATAATAACATGGGGGGGCACATGGAGACCCTATAATAACATGGGGGGGCGGAGCCGGGGTCACCGTTGCCATGACGACCGCGATGTCGTGCCTCTGTCCGTCACGCAGGTGTTCCCCCCCCGTCCCGTTGCCGTAAAGCGCGGCGGCGGTGCCGTAAGGCGAGCGGCGGAGGCGGCGCAGTAAGATGGCGGCGGCGGGGCCCGCAACCGGGGCCCGAGGAGCGGCCGCTGCCCCCCGCACCTGAACGGAGCCGGCACCGCGGGACCGGGTGCGTGCGGGGATCCCCCCCACCCCCCCCTCTTTCCGAGGCTCTCCGGGCCCTCCCCGGTGGCTCCGGTACCGGCCCCGCTGCACCTCACCCCCCCCCCCCCCAACCAGGGCCGCGGGGGTAACGGGGGCCTGAAGAGCGCTGGGCCTCGGAGGGGGGGGTCCGGCCCTGCGGTTATGGGGGGGTCCCTCCTGCACCCGAGGGGGGTTTTGCCCCTATTGGGGGGTCCGTGCTGCTTTGGGGTCTGTGCTTGTGCCTCGGGGGGGGGGTCCCTTCTGTCTGCTGAGGGGTTTCTGCCCCTTTAAGGGGGGTCCTGGTGCCTTTGGGGGAGTCCCTTCTGTTTGCTGAGGGGTTTCTGCCCCTTTGGGGGGGGTCCCTTCCGTCTGCTGAGGGGTTTCTGCCCCTTTAAGGGGGATCCTGGTGCCTTTGGGGGGGTCCCTTTTGTCTGCTGAGGGGTTTCTGCCCCTTTAAGGGGGGTCCTGGTGCCATTGGGGGGGTCCCTTCTGTCTGCTGAGGGGTTTCTGCCCCTTTAAGGGGGGTCCTGGTGCCATTGGGGGGGTCCCTTCTGTCTGCTGAGGGGTTTCTGCCCCTTTGGGGGGGGTCCTGGTGCCTTTGGGGGGGTCCCTTCTGTCTGCTCAGGGGTTTCTTCCCCTTTAAGGGGGGTCCTGATGCCTTTGGGGGTGTCCCTTCTGTCTGCTGAGGGGTTTCTTCCCCTTTAAGGGGGATCCTGGTGCCTTTGGGGGGGTCCCTTCTGTCTGCTGAGGGGTTTCTTCCCCTTTAAGGGGGATCCTGATGCCTTTGGGGGGGGTCCTTTCCGTCTGCTGAGGGGTTTCTTCCCCTTTAAGGGGGATCCTGCTGCCTTTGGGGGGGGGGTCCCTTCCGTCTGCTGAGGGGTTTCTTCCCCTTTAAGGGGGATCCTGGTGCCTTTGGGGGGGTCCCTTTTGTCTGCTGAGGGGTTTCTTCCCCTTTAAGGGGGATCCTGCTGCCTTTGGGGGGGGGTCCCTTCCGTCTGCTGAGGGGTTTCTTCCCCTTTAAGGGGGATCCTGGTGCCTTTGGGGGGGTCCCTTTTGTCTGCTGAGGGGTTTCTGCCCCTTTGGGGGGGTCCCTTCTGTCTGCTGAGGGGTTTCTGCCCCTTTAAGGGGGGTCCTGGTGCCTTTGGGGGTCCTGTTTTACCCCAGGGCAGGTTCCTGTTACCCCAGAGGCCTCCTCACCCCTTAAGGGGGGTTGGGGACTTCTTCCCCCCCCCCCGCCCCCCCCGGATCCAAGGGTTCCCTCCTGTCCCTGGCACCTTCTTGGTGTCCTCATCTCTTAGGAGGGTGCTGAGGGTCCGGGTCCATCCCCCCCCCGCCTCAGGGCTCCTTCCCTGGTGCCACCTCCAGCCCCAACCCCTGTCCCTTGTCCCCATCCCCATCCCAGGACAGATCCCGTTGTCCCTGGGGGGTTCCCAAGGGAGCAGGGGCTCACTCCCTGCTTTAACCTCTTGTTCCCATCAGCTGCCAAGGAACCTCCAGCCCTTGTTCCTGCAGCACCGTGCAGGTGAGTGGGACCCCCCCCCCCGCCCCGGGGGGATCCATAGGGCTGCTCCTATGGGATTATCCAAGCTGGTTGGGCTTTCCTTGCCCTTGGGCTTTTCCAGGTTGGGATAGAGCTCAGGCTGGAAGGAATTGCCTCCTGTTGGAGTTGCTTGGGCTGGTTTGGGGTCTGGAGCCTGATCCCCGTGGCTGCGGTGTGTTCCAGCTGCTGGGAGCTCTGATCCGGAGCTGAGCCTGTCCCAGCCCCATGGTCCCATCACCTCTCTTTGGTGGAGGCTGAGGCAGAGCAAAGGGCCCAAACCCTGCTTTCCTCCTCTTAGCAGAGCCCTGAGGGGCAGGACTGGGGGGCTCCCATGAGCTGTCAGACCCCCCCCCGCCCCCCATCCTGCATCCAGCTCTGGGGCAGCAGCACCAGAGGGACGTGGAGCTGCTGGAGCGAGGCCACGGAGCTGCTGCGAGGGCTGGAGCAGCTCTGCCATGGAGCCAGGCTGAGAGAGCTGGGCTGGGGCAGCCTGGAGAAGAGAAGGCTCCTGAAGGGGAGACCTGAGAGCAGCTCCAGTGCCTGAAGGGGCTGCAGGAAAGCTGGAGAGGGGCTTGGGACAAGGGATGCAGGGACAGGCCAAGGGGAATGGCTTGAACCTGCCCGAGGGGAGACTGAGATGAGCTCTTAGGCAGAAGCTCTTCCCTGTGAGGGTGCTGAGGCGCTGGCACAGGGTGCCCAGAGAAGCTGTGGCTGCCCCATCCCTGGCAGTGCTCAAGGCCAGGTTTGGACCCAAGGCCTTGGAGCATCCTGCTCCGGTGCAAGGCGTCCCTGGAAGGACCTGGAGGCGCTTCCCACTGGCTCTGTCCCCGCAGGGTGAGCGCTCCCGATCCCAGCATGTCGGACAAAGGCAGCAGCATGGACGGGAAGACGGACATCGTGAATGGTGAGGCCACGGTGGGGACCCCCCCCCCTCTCTCTTTGCCCCCCATGTCCCCTCATGGTTTGTGTGTGTGTGCCCACAGGGAGCTTGTCCAGCAGCCCCGAGGAGATGTCGGCTGAGGAGGGTCGGGAAACCTCCTCTGGCATCGAGGTGGAGGCCTCGGACCTGAGCCTGAGCCTCACGGGGGACGACGTGGGGGCCCCCCGCGCCAGGCTGGGCACGAGCCGGGACACGGAGCCCGAGAGCTCGGCCGAGGAGAAGGACTCGGACAGCATGGACGACACCGGGCACTACTCCCTCACCGAGGAGAGCCGGGCCCTGGAGCGCTCGCCCTCGGAGGAGGAGGAGGAAGAGGAAGAAGAAGAAGAAGAGGAGGAAGAGGAAGAGGAAGAGCGAGCGCAGCGGCGAGCCCAGCGCAGGCGCCCCGACCGCGAGCAGGACTCGTCGGACGACGAGCAGGCGCTGGAGGCGTGGGTATCGGCGGAGACGTCGGCGCTGCCGCGGCCGCGTTGGCGAGCGGTCCCGGCGCTGCGGCACCGGCAGCTTGGCTCCAGCGCCCGCTTCGTGCCCGAGGCCTGCGGCGCCCGCGTCTTCGTGCAGCGCTTCCGCCTGCAGCACGGCCTCGAGGCCCACACGGGCTGCGTCAACACCCTGCACTTTAACCAGCGCGGCACCTGGCTCGCCAGCGGCAGCGACGACCTCCGCGTCGTCGTCTGGGACTGGGTGAGGAGGAGGCCGGTGCTGGAGTTCGAGAGCGGCCACAAGAGCAACGTTTTCCAGGTGAGGAGGAGCTTTGGGCATCGTCTGGTTCCACCATGCCCCCCTCTGTGCTGTGGGAAGGGGGATGCCTCACACTGGAGCAGGGCTGCTCCGAGCCCCTGTGTCTAAGCTGGTCTGGAGCACTGCCAGGGATGGGGCATCTCAGCATCCTCACAGCGAGGAGCTTCCTTATCTCTGCTCTGAACTTCCCCTGTTCCAGTTTGAACCCGTCACCCCTTGGCCTGTCATTACAAGGTCATGGAATCCTGGAATGGTTTGGGTTGGAAAGGACCTTAAGGTCATCCAGTTCCAGCCCCCTGGATCCAGTTCCAGCCCCCTGGATCCAGTTCCGACCCCCTGGATCCAGTTCCGACCCCCTGGATCCAGATCCAGTTCCGACCCCCTGCATCCAGTTCCGACCCCCTGCATCCAGTTCCAGCCCCCTGCGTCCAGTTCCAGCCCCCTGCATCCAGTTCCAGCCCCCTGCGTCCAGTTCCAGCCCCCTTCATCCAGTTCCAGCCCCCTGCATCCAGTTCCAGCCCCCTTCATCCAGTTCCGACCCCTTCATCCAGTTCCGACCCCTTCATCCAGTTCCGACCCCCTGCATCCAGTTCCAGCCCCCTGCATCCAGTTCCAGCCCCCTGCATCCAGTTCCAGCCCCCTTCATCCAGTTCCGACCCCTTCATCCAGTTCCGACCCCTTCATCCAGTTCCAGCCCCCTGCATCCAGTTCCGACCCCCTGCATCCAGTTCCGACCCCCTGCATCCAGTTCCAGCCCCCTGCATCCAGTTCCGACCCCCTGCATCCAGTTCCGACCCCCTGCATCCAGTTCCAGCCCCCTGCATCCAGTTCCGAGCCCCTGCATCCAGTTCCGAGCCCCTGCATCCAGTTCCGAGCCCCTGCATCCAGTTCCGAGCCCCTGCATCCAGTTCCGAGCCCCTGCATCCAGTTCCGACCCCCTGCATCCAGTTCCAGCCCCCTGCATCCAGTTCCAGCCCCCTGCATCCAGTTCCAGCCCCCTGCATCCAGTTCCAGCCCCCTGCATCCAGTTCCAGCCCCCTGCATCCAGTTCCAGCCCCCTGCATCCAGTTCCAGCCCCCTTCATCCAGTTCTGACCCCTTCATCCAGTTCCGACCCCTTCATCCAGTTCCAGCCCCCTGCATCCAGTTCCGACCCCCTGCATCCAGTTCCGACCCCCTGCATCCAGTTCCAGCCCCCTGCATCCAGTTCCAGCCCCCTGCATCCAGTTCCAGCCCCCTGCATCCAGTTCCGACCCCCTGCATCCAGTTCCAGCCCCCTGCATCCAGTTCCGAGCCCCTGCATCCAGTTCCGAGCCCCTGCATCCAGTTCCAGCCCCCTGCATCCAGTTCCAGCCCCCTGCATCCAGTTCCGACCCCCTGCATCCAGTTCCAGCCCCCTGCATCCAGTTCCGACCCCCTGCATCCAGTTCCAGCCCCTGCATCCAGTTCCAGCCCCTGCATCCAGTTCCGACCCCCTGCATCCAGTTCTGAGCCCCTGCATCCAGTTCCAGCCCCCTGCATCCAGTTCCAGCCCCCTGCATCCAGTTCCAGCCCCCTGCATCCAGTTCCAGCCCCCTGCATCCAGTTCTGAGCCCCTGCATCCAGTTCCAGCCCCCTGCATCCAGTTCCGACCCCCTGCATCCAGTTCCGATCCCCTGCATCCAGTTCTGAGCCCCTGCATCCAGTTCCAGCCCCCTGCATCCAGTTCCAGCCCCCTGCATCCAGTTCCGACCCCCTGCATCCAGTTCCAGCCCCCTGCATCCAGTTCTGACCCCGTTTATCCAGTTCCAGCCCCCTGCATCCAGTTCCGACCCCCTGCATCCAGTTCCAGCCCCCTGCATCCAGTTCCAGCCCCCTGAATCCAGTTCTGAGCCCCTGCATCCAGTTCTGAGCCCCTGCATCCAGTTCCGACCCCCTGCATCCAGTTCCGACCCCCTGCATCCAGTTCCGACCCCCTGCATCCAGTTCCAGCCCCTTGCGTCCAGTTCCGACCCCCTGCGTCCAGTTCCAGCCCCCTGCATCCAGTTCCGAGCCCCTGCATCCAGTTCCAGCCCCTGCATCCAGTTCCGACCCCCTGCATCCAGTTCCGACCCCCTGCATCCAGTTCCGACCCCCTGCATCCAGTTCCGACCCCCTGCATCCAGTTCCAGCCCCTTGCGTCCAGTTCCGACCCCCTGCGTCCAGTTCCGACCCCCTGCGTCCAGTTCCAGCCCCCTGCATCCAGTTCCAGCCCCCTGCATCCAGTTCCGACCCCCTGCATCCCGTTCCAACCCCAACCCATGGGGCCGGGCTGTCTCCTACTAGAGATCCACTGTGGTGGGGCAGGAACCTGCTCTAGAAGCCCCGAATTCCAGCTGGATAACGGGGCAGGAGGAAGCTGCTGGTGATAAGAACCCTCAAACCCCACCAGGGTGCCCTAAAATCCACCCTTTCATGGGGTGGGATCCCCCCAGGCCCCACAGAGCTTCCATCTTCCCACCCCTCCAGCGTGGCCAGGATGGAGCTGGGGCTTTGCAGCCGTTCCCTATGGATCTGAGCACACGGGGGGGGGGTGTTGGCAGAGGTGCTGCCCTCGGTTGAAGGCCACTTGCTCCCTTCCAGGCCAAGTTCCTGCCCAACAGTGGTGACTCCACGCTGGCCATGTGTGCCCGGGACGGGCAGGTCCGGGTGGCCGAGCTCTCAGCCACCCAGTGCTGCAAGAACACGAAGAGGGTGGCCCAGCACAAGGGAGCCTCACACAAGGTGAGCCCTTGGTGTGGGGTATGGGGGGACCCCCAACCCCCCAAAACACACCCCGGGGTCCTCCCCGTGGCTCAGTGGGGTGATGAGGGTTGTGGGGGGCAAAGGGAGGGGGTGTCTCGCCACGTTGTTGGGTGAAAAGGGGACCAATGGCCAAGTCTTTATCTTCCAGCTGGCCCTAGAACCGGATTCTCCATGCACTTTCCTATCGGCAGGTGAAGATGCTGTCGTCTTCACCATCGACCTGAGACAAGACCGACCTGCCTCGTGAGTGTTGTCCTTCCTGCTCCCATCCCCAGGGATGCTCCACAGGGAGATCTGGGGTCTCAAAGCGGGGGGGCTGTGGCCAAAAGAGGCTGTGGGTTCAGCTGGTTTTGTGCCGGATTGAGGGGCAGCAAAGGGCTGTTGTGAGGCTCTTGGACAGCAGGGGCAGCCCCAGAGCGCACACACGGTGTGGGTCCTTCCCTAGGGCTGTGGTGGGACACTGGAATGGGTTAAAGGGAGAAGCTGCCCCATCCCTGGCAGTGTTCAAGGCCGGGTTGGACGCAGGGGCTTGGAGCAAGCTGCTCCAGTGGAAGGGGTTGGGACTGGAGGAGCTTTAAGGTCCCTTCCATCCCAAACCATTCCAGGACTCTCTGCACCTGGCTCATTAGTCAAGGGGTTTGAATCCCCCAGGATGGGACCCTGCTAAGACAGGGAACAGCAACACCCCCCTGCTGCCAGGTCCAGCCCTGCTTCCACCTGCATTTCATCTCTGCTGGTTTTCCAGTCTCATTTTGGAGATGCTTTCGCTCTAAATCCAAAGCTTTGGTGTTTGGGTTCGTTCCTCCACGCGAATGCTTTTGGCTGGAGCTTTCCCTGTTTCATCACGGGGACAAAAACCCCGCTGGGGCCTTTCCAAACCTTTAATCCCAGTGTTTGTGTCCCTGGAGCTGAACTAGGGAGCTGCTGGGGGATGGGATCGTGTGCAATGTGGGCATTGTTACAGCCAGATGGGTGAGGGGAAGAAGAGAGCAGCAAAGCACTTCTGCCCTGGCATCCATCCCACGCTGCCTGTGCAGCTCCTGCTTGGAACTGGAGGTGGTTTTGTGGTGGTTGTGGTTGTGCTTGGGTTGTTATTGTCCTTCTGCATCTCTTCAAGGAAACTGGTGGTGACCAAGGAGAAGGAGAAGAAGGTGGGTCTCTACACCATCTACGTCAACCCAGCCAACACCTACCACTTCGCTGTGGGGGGCAGAGACCAGTTCATCAGGTGAGTCCCACCCCGGTGCTAAGGGATGGGCTCCACTTAATGCCTCCAAGCCCCGGGTGGGATTGGGTGGGCTTCAAAGGTTGGATGGGGTTCGGAGCAACGTGCTCCAGTGGGAGGTGTCCCTGCCCGTGGCAACGGGGTGGAACAGGAGGAGCTTTAAGGTGCCTTCAACCCAAACCCTTCCGTGGATTTGGATCCTTTGAGGGCGAGCCCTGGAGCTGCTCTGCTGCTGGGCTCCATCCATGGGGATGACAATTCCCAGTGATCCCACACTAGTGTCTGGCCCAGGAATGCTCCCCATGGGCTCCTTGCTCCCTGGCATTGGGGCAGTGGCAAAGGAGGAAGGGAGGGAGGGGGACTATGGGGACATGGAGCCGCTTTGGCCGCGGTTGTGGTTGAATCCTGCCCTTCTCCCCGCAGGATTTACGACCAGAGGAAGATAGATGAGAACGCCAACAACTGCGTCCTCAAGAAGTTCTGCCCACACCACTTGGTAAGGAGCCGGTGCTGCGGTGTCACCTGTGGGGCTGGGACCGGGGCCGTGCCCATAGCGGGTTGGGAGCGTGGTGAGGAGGAGGAGGAGGATGAGGAGGAGGAAGGAGACGTCGTCCGTGCTCTCTCCCCAGGTGAACAGCGAGTCCAAAGCCAACATCACCTGCCTGGTCTACAGCCACGACGGCTCCGGTGAGTGACCACCGGTGGTGGTGATGGGGTGGTGGTGATGGGGTTCAGCACCTCCATGTGCTGACACCACCGTCTCTCCCGTGCCCCCCCAGAGCTCTTGGCCAGCTACAACGATGAGGACATTTACCTCTTCAACTCCTCCCACAGCGACGGGGCCGAGTACATCAAGAGGTACAAGGGACACCGCAATAACGCCACGGGTAAGGGCAAAACCCC